CTACTGTCAGGATGTAGTGAAAGTTTCAGCAAATATGACAAAAAGTTATTTCTATAAAAATTATCTATTGCAGCTTTAAAGGGTCTCTTCCATAAAGAATACTGAACCCTCCACCTGATGCCTTTATACTAATATAACTTCCAGCTGTTTCATTTTCCCCACAAGCCTTATGATGTAGTTAAATATTTCTATCATTCAACTGTGTACTAATGTTTTGAGCATGAACGTTGTTTTTGTGTCTCTAGAGTGTTTCTAGTGTGTAACCATGCTGCAGATACATGGTCTTATAGCTGTAGATGTTGCACAGACATACCACAGCAGATATACAATATGAACTAAAGTTCCCACATAACTTGTTTTCAAACACACTGAGAAAAGTCAGTGTGTATCTCTACACTGGACATGTTTAAAGTCAACTGTCACTGATGTCAACTGTTCTGTTTTGCGTTTTAAAACTTGATCACAATACATCATCTAGTCTCTTTGGAGCCTTGTTTCTCAGTGTGGTAGCGTTGGTATCTTTACTAACCTCCATTAATAAGATGTCGACATTTTCAAACATGGTTCTGTTCATGCTGCAAGCTCACAGCTCAAGGTTCTGATTTATGCTCAGATCTGATTTTTTTTTTTTGTCTATTCTTTTTTTTAAATGTGGCCCATATCCGATTCAGTGGTCACAGTCCTGAACTGAGGACTGCAAACAGCACTTTAGTACTGAGGTGTATGTGGATGCAGTCGGAGCAAACAGACCGGTTACAATTCGACCCCTCTAGTTTTACTTGTACAGAAGTGTCACCCTGAATACTTCTGAAGACCTCACTGTCCCTCCACTGACTGCCTCCTCACACTGAGTGACTCCCAACAGCGCAGCATTGTGACAAATGCCAATGGAAAGTTACAGAATTGACAGAAGTTCACGGAATCAGACCTGTATCTGATTTGTGCCACTTTCATATGTGCTCCAAATCAGCCAAGCACATCCAAGCACATGTGCTTTGTGCTTTTGACACTGTCAGGAAAAAACTGATCACATTTGAGTAAATTAATCAGATTTGCGCCACTTCTTCCTGCAGTGTGAACACAGTGAAGCTGAGCTACTGTTACTTGAAAAGTAAAATTACTGTTAGAGTGATTATAGTCATTGCAAAAATAAAACTCCTCACAATAACCAGCCTGTTATTATTTAGTGTAGCACTTTTCTTATTGTGCTTTGCAGTTTACTGCTGGAGAACCAACCCCTGCCTGTGCAGCTGCTGGTTTAATAATGGACTTACAGAACTGTTTTAACAAAGTGACATTACATCTGTAACATCACACAGTGCAGTCTGTAGAATAGGACGAAGCCCTGTGAACTGAAGCTGTGTTTTTATGCATATGTGTACCATCAGTGTGTCTGTAATGTTTACTCTGTTTGCATAGTGTTAAAGTCGCCATAGGCAGACAATAAACTGTTACATGACTCCTCTCGTCTGTGTGTGTAAAGTAAATGAATGAAACATAATATGGTGAAGGAACTCAAATGCATGTTTAATGAGATAATTCAAGTTTCAAAGTCAGGTAGTGAGTTATATTTATACATTATATATTTCTGTGTCTGAAAGCAGCTGTAATATATTGAGGAAATCATCCAGACAAATCTGGTGGCAGGGTACAAACTGCTTCACGTTGGATATTAAAGTAACAACATGAATCTAAAACACACTAACACAAGAAATGAACATACTGAGTTTAAGCTCTGTAGAAGAGGACCCGCTCCCTCTCTAGATAAAAACAGCTCATTCTAAAGTAACACACAATGATTCCTATACTCAGGTGATTATACACCAATGAAAACACAGCTATGAATATTATATTTCTGACAACATATCCTCATAAGTGTTACACACTGGACCTTTAAGACAAAATCCTCTTTTGGGGGTCTGTGGTCTAATGTGCATCATTCATCCCTGTCCATGAGGACTATGTATGGAGATTGACAGGATGCCGATTCTCCTGTACTGCTCCCTAAAGACAGTAATGCCTGTGTGTGTCTCTAAATATCTAATAACATTGTTCAAAGGAGGAGTGCGTGTCTGTTTTGATTGGAGACACTCTGTTTGGGACATGTTGGCGAAGCAGTCATGTGATCTCCTAATTGTAGCTGGAACTGTGACAAAATGTTGTCTCTATATTCACATGGATGTTCAACTAACAAAGGTGGAAATGTTGCACTAATAAAAACCTCCATTTTCAGTGTTTGACCAGTAACAGGCTTAAAAAGACACAACTTCTGTGTGTGTTTGTGTGTGTCAGCAGTAGGCAGGCAGACTCAGCAGACTGATGAAGAGCAGAGCTGAGGAGAAAAAGGCCTGAAGAGAGAGAGAGAAACACATCAGCATCACACTGCAGCTCCGTCCGTCTGTCAGTCCATCCGTCATTAGTACTCACTCCAGCTGCAGAGTTCCCACTGCTGTCCAGTCTCAGAGTGCTGCTGTTCAGCTGAACCCAGAATGTTGTGTAGTCCTGGACCAGAGTGGCGCTGTCAACAAGTATCATAAAGTCAGATCTGGTCCAGTTGTTTGGATCCATTTCTGCTGTGACTGTTTGTGTGTGTGTGTGTGTGTGTGTGTGTGTGTGTGCTCGTTTTACTACATTTGTGGGGTCCAACTAGTGGGTCTGTTTGAGAAGCAAGACTTGGTTTTAGGGTAAGGGTTAGAATTAGGTTAGGGTTCAGCATTTAGTTGTGATGACTGAGGTCAGGGTAATATAGTAGCACAAGGATGTTACGTTAGGATGTGTGTGTGGAACTTTGTCTACCTGAAGTAAATATCACCATAGTTACTGTTGCTAGGTGATGCCCAGGTCAGCTGGACTTTATTCCTCTTGGCTCCTGAAGCCTGACTGACAGTCGAGTTCTGCACAAGAACACAAACACACACACACACACACACACACACACACACAGTTCACACAGCTTGACTTCATTCATTGTGGACAGTATATATAATGGACAGAGCTTCCGGGTTGTGCCGATCACACATACCTCCATGTTTTTACAGTGCAGTGCAGTAAACAGGGTGGTGTCGATGTTGGTGAACTTTCCAATAGGCCACAACAGAGCTGGAAGCAGAAAAAACAAAGAGTTCATTCGAGGTGCTGTGGCAAAATACGGTTGCCCCAAAAATACAAAAGTCTATAAATAAATAGTTTCTCATGATCTGTCTTAGCATTTAGGTTATGACAAAGGAAAACAGGGTTTTAAATGAAAATAAATTAAAACTAATTTAATGATGACAGAAGCCAACTGAAGAATAGTGTCCTTAATAAACATTCAAGGCCAATCTTTTGGTACCTATTACTACGTTTGTAATAGTACTGACTGTACAGTACACACATTGGCAGCTTCTCCTTGACCATGATCCATCAATATTTTCTTCAGTTGAAACAGAACACACTGGCGGGGACGCTATAATTAAAGGGATACAACGCAAGATTTTCCGAACAAACAATGTATACCACTACAAGTGTGTGCTGGTGTCTGTGTCTGCAGAGACGAGAGGCAGAGGCAGAGCAGGTCGTCCCCCAATCGGAAGCTTG